TAAAAACTGAAGTTAGCAAATCATTTTCTTGGAGCAAACAACAGCTAACAAACTTAATAAAAAATGAAAGTGTTGCCGTGTCTACAACGATGGATTTTTGGACAAGTCGTCGGCGCCATGGATATATCGGAATTACATGCTCTTGGATTTCCGAATCATGGGAATTTAAAGAAGCTCTTCTTCTTTTGCAACACGTTTTATACCCTCATACGGGTGAAGTTATCGCTGAAGTGTTGAATCAGACTTTAACGGAATGGGGTTTAATTAATAAAATATCAGCAATTACCACTGACAATGGGTCAAATGTAAAAAAAGCGACCCAATTGCTAGGATTCGATAGAATTCCTTGCACAGCACATGTACTCCAACTTTCTGTTGGAAGAGGATTAAACGTAGTTAAACATTTAGTTCTACGTGTAAAAAGACTGATAGATTTTTTTAATCACTCACCAAAACATTCTGAATATCTTCTTATTGCGCAAAAAGACCTTGGATTTCAAAAAAAATTATCGACGATCGGGGACATTTCTACACGATGGAATTCATCGTTTTACGCTTGGGAAAGATTGCTTCAATTAAGAAGAGCAATAATATATCTTCCCTCGCGGCTTCAATCAGATGAAAATGCGACTGTTCGAAAGGATGGTGAACGATTAGCACATATCATGCTTACTAACAGTGAATGGACTTTTTTAGATGAGTTGAATGACATTTTAAGTAGCTTTGAAGAAATCATGACTTTATTAAGTGGAAATACTTATATAACTATTTCTTTAATATATCCAGCAATTTCAGCATTGGTTAAGACTTTAAAAGCGTCTCTTCAACAATCTTATATTGAATCAGTTTTAACGGACATAAATGAATTAACGATTCTTGATGCCATGGAAGAAGTTATCGACGATACTAAGGATTTCGTTGAAATTAGAGAAGTCGATCCTGAATTAGGAATTATTCATAAAAAAATTGATATTTCAATCCCAATGGTTACAAATGGAATGCTTGAAAAATTCAAAAAAGTACTTTACGATAGTATGCATAAATATTGGCAATCGGTTACTAACGTTGGAATGCTTGCATGTTTGCTTGATCCACGTTTCAAAAAGCTACGTTTTACAAACATAAGTGTAATTCAAAGAACAAATGAACATTTGAAACAATTATACGAAATAGAGAGTGGAGTTTATACGGCTTCTCAACACTCGGCATCCTTGTCTAATATTCAGGAAGAAACTTTTGAGATTAGTAGAATACAAAGAAAACGTAAATCAATTTTATCAGATCTATATGCTGCTGACAATCCAATTAATGAAATTGACGAATACTTATCTTTGGAAGAGGAAGGAGGCAGAACAGATCCTTTTCAATGGTGGAAAATTAAAAAAAAACGATTTCCTATATTATCACAAATTGCCCAAAAATATTTATGTGTGTCGGCAACCTCGGTCTCATCTGAACGCTTGTTTTCAGATGTTGGAAACAACATTACGGCAAAACGCACAAACCTTGACCCAGAATTGGTAGGTGAGATGATATTTTTAAAGAGAAATATGAATCTGCTAGAAACAATATTTCCAGCCAATGAATAATTAAATAAATACATTTGCTTTCGTAACTTGTAACTTGATATATTTGCTTAAAAGAGCTTATATTGCAGTATATATATTGTTCAAAATTTTCGCCGATAATTAAGAAAATATTTCTAAAGGCCAGAACTTATTATATTAATTTATATTTGCTTTTGTAATTTGCTATTTGAAGTTAATTTATCATTATGTAACTTGCAATTTACAAATTTATCAATGAATTAATTTGCCTTGACTCGAATTAATCGAATAAAACTCGAATATGTAATTAAATCGAATAATTTGAACACTCTTCTGAGTTTAATTCGTGAGTAACGAATTGATACGAGTCCAGTTACTAGGTAGCGATTATGAGGTGGTTTTTATTAATATCAAGATAAAGCTACACAGAAATCCAGAAGAGGATACATCAAGTGAGACACATTTAGCAGTATGAATGAAGTGGTTACTTGATTAGACAAAAGAGAAGGATTGGCAGAATTATAGAGCAATACTGTGGAAGCTTTTAAATAGCAAGATTTCATCCTTCTTAAAAGAACATTATATAGATATAGATATAGCTTTTTCACTAAATATATTGGATAGAGTCAACCAAGTATAGGAAATAATTGAAGGGGCTATTATTAAATCAGCAAAACAAAACCCCCCAAATAAGAAGATCAGACCCTCAAAGAGAGCTGTCAGGAAAAAAAAAAAAAAAAAACTTGTAGTTAACAGCTGCACAGAATTTGAGAAAGATTATAAAAAATATTAAAAGAGCAGAAAATTCACCTAACAGCAGCTTAGTATTGCAATGGAATAAAGGTTTGGAAAAAATAAACAAGTCGACAGGTAGTAAGATCACGTTGGTTGCCGACTTCATTACTGAAAGCTGGTTAGAAGAAGCAAAGATATAGTGAAAAGCTTTTGAAGGCAAAGTGGTTACCGAAGAGAATATGCAAATCAAAAAAGAAATTAGAGTATATGTTAAAAAGAGAGTACAAATGATCATTAAAGAACAAAAATGAATTCTAACAAGCTTGCTAAAAAGAACAACTTCCAAGGTGACAATTGACAGAGTATATACCGAAGGGGCAGAGAGTGCTCGGCTAGAAACAAACTCTAAAGAGGTGCTTTGGATTACCAAAAAGCACTTCCAAAATCAGTTTTATAAAAAAAACACAAACATGGCCTTGCTAAACAGAGATTGGCATCAAGAATACAGTCCTATTGCATGAGTACAAGAGAGTTGGTATGACTCATTACTCGAGCCAATCGAATTAGAAGAATGGGAAGCAGTATTAAGAGATAGCAAATCGAACTCAGCCCCAGAAATCTCAACAATTACATACTCATTTATTAAACAAGCAGACAATAGAACACAAGTTATTTTTAAAAACTTCGCAAATCTGTGTATATATAGTGAGGCAGTACTAGATAAGTGAAAAAGTTGTACAGGTGTATTCAATACCAAAAAAAATGGATTGGAAGTATGATCTAAACAAAATATGCCCAATAGCTTTGCTAGAAACATTTCACAAATGCACAACCAAGGTGTTAACTAAGCACCTCAGCAAGATTATAAGTAAAAAAGCAATATTACAAGGTCCAAACTTCACAGGTTTACCTGGCAACTCAACTGAAGAGCCAATTCAAATTCTAAATGCAGTAATAGAAGAGGCTAAAGAGCAGAATAAAGAGTTATGGATCCTTTTCCAGGACATGAAGAAAGTATATAACTCAGTAAACCTCGAGATGTTGCAAAAAGCCTTTGAGAGAATCAAAGTTCTGCAGATTATTTATAGTTTCATCCTAAACCTTTTTAGAGACAAAAAGTACAAATTTTGGCCTCACTGAAGAGATTACTACTGAAGATGGTATAGATCAAGGAGAGGTTATTTCTTCATTGGTCTGGAGAATTTTCTATGATTCTTTGCTTAACAAAATACAGAAAGACAAAGAACTTGGATACACCCTTAAGCCATACGACAAAATGAAAACGTTGATGGAGTTGGATTATACAGACAAAATTAGACAAGCGACACTAGCCTATGCCAATGACACAGCCTGGTTAGCAAATTCGAAGCAACAACTAAAATGCATAATAGCTTTAGCCGAACAATTTTTTAATTTAAATGATATTAAGATAAATGGAAACAAATCTAAGCTAGTAGTGGTTAACTCAGGTTTGGCTAAGTAGGAAAGGTTTATAGACTTTTGTGATACAAAAATCATGGCAGAAAGAAAGCTGTATGATATAAAGTACTTAGGTGTTATACTCCACACCTCAACAGAAATAGGTAATATCAAAAAGAAAGCCAAAAAGGTAGTGGGCCTCTTTTCATACTTAATAGGGGAAAAGAAAATTACAGCAAGCCAACTAGTATATATAAACAATCAAGTATTGATATCCAAATTAGAGTATATCTTGCAGGTCATTCCACTTGCAAAGAGAGAAGTTGTAGCGATCCACCAACCAATGCTATGTTTGTTTAAAAGAAAGTTGGGAATAGCTCAAACATGTTCGAACAATATTATATTGCATAACAGTATGCTAGGGTTTTGATCACTCACTAGTATGCTCATAGCAAGATAAGCAGTTGTACTACTAAAGAGCCTAAATAATATAGACACAATAGGTAGAATTACAAGGCTTAGAATTAGACAAGGTATCTTTCGTAAAGAGATAAGCCAAGATTTTTGGAAGTGTACTGTTGTTAAGATGAGCAAGACTAGGTAGAGAGGCAATATTGCCTGTAAAAGTGCAAACAGTTTGAAGTATTTCTTAGTACAGATGAACAAGGGTAGCAAATAAAGGGCACAGGCTCTATGATAGAGGATCTAATACTACCTAAAGTATTCAAAAAGAGTAAGAACTCTTGCATTAAATTAGAAATTTTTTACTTAGGGCAAATAATCGATTTCGAAGACAACACACTCCTAACATGGCAACAGCTCAGAGCTCTGAAGAGTAAATATGAAAGCTCGGTGGTTTAGCAAAATAGAAAAGAAGGTTTTAGTTTTAGCAGAGAAAAGAATACTGAAAAGGGAATATCAGCTAGGCTACAGAAATCTAATGTATCTTCTAGTACAGTATGAGAAATCAAAAACAGACAAGAGATACAAGCCCTGGATTGTTTTGAAAGATCAAGATTCAACAGCTTCAGTAATCAGCCATGCTATAAACACTAACAGTAAAGACATATACTTTGAACACTGGCTAACAGAGCCTGGTTACAACACAGGGTTACTGCATCGATATACTGGATATAGTATAAATATAGCAAATGAAGCAAATCAATATGTAAGAAAGAAGTCCATAATACAAAACCTTCGTCAAGTTAAAAGCATTGTTAAGAAAGAGAATAAATGGTCTATGCTGATCCCTGCACTCTGGTTTTTTGCACCTACTATCTTTAAGCAAGGTATAGAAAAGAAGTTTGTAAAGCTGCAGCCAATCGAAAATGTAGACATTACCTTCATTAAAAATTAACACTTCAAACAAAAAGTCGAAAAGTTGTTAATCAAGAACATAAATCTCAACTTACAAAAAAGAACCAAAAATCCAGTATTCTTTACGGATGGATCTTTGATATGCCCAAATGATGAATCTGCGAGTATCGATCTAATAGGGGCAGGGTGGATACAAACATATATAGAACAACCTGAAGTAAAAGTTACCAGAGGTAGTGTAAGGATAGAAAAATGAACTTTATTATTGAGATCTAAACTAGTAGCAATCTGGTGTGCATTATTAATAATATGCTCAGAAAGTATAGTTGAGATTAATACGGATAGTATAATTGCAATATATAGTATCCAGAAAGCATTAGAAAATAAAAGCTTTAGAGCATCGAGTAAATTAAAGAATTACTTAATTGTAGATAAGATAGTAGAGACAATTCAGTTTAAAGGGCTCAGAATAATATTAAACAAGGTTAAAGCACATAGTGGTATTAAGTGGAATGAGATAGCAGACAAGCTAGTGAAAGAAGATACAGCCTTAGACAAAAACTGGTCAATTTGTGAATTGTTCGGGTCTAGATAGCCTTTTGGTATAAGGTGGCAAGATAAACAAGTAGACTTCCCAATAAGATCTTTTATACTTCAGATTACTGGTATAAAAACTAAAAGCAGCTGGTATATACAAAAAAAGTCACATCTACATAGTGATAACGAAAAAGCAAAAAACTTGGTCTGGAGTAACTGTTGGGAGAGATTTAAAGAGTATAGAGGCATGAGATGCGACTTAACTAAAAAAAGTCTTAGATTAGTAGAGTACATTAAAAATTTGTTATGAACACTCTCAACGAAAAGTGTCCTATATAAAAGAAGTCCTTCCATGTATCTGGATTCTATTTGTGTGAAGATAATAAAGAGGAAAATACAAATCACCTTATGCAGTATCAGGCACTAAATAAGTCATGGGTAGAAATTGAAAAGTTTAGCATTAGTCTAGCTTGGGCATCAATAGATAAAGTTTATAGGATAGCTTTAATAGTACAAGACTTGTGGAAAGCAGTTCTTGGTTCAACATTAGTTGAGAGAGTCAAGGCACATAGTCTTCTATCAAAGGGTCTTTTTAAACGCAGCACACTTTCGTGATTAAGTAATGTTTTAGAGAATGAAGCTATAGCACTAGAAACTCTAAAAACAGCTAGCTTTAGTATACAAGAATACTTTT